ACATGTGAGTCATGCAAAGCACAACTTGAATAAGATATTTAGAATAATATGAATATAGCCATGAATGAACAATAAAACTGAGGTTTTATAGCTGTTCGGTAGATGAAATGAAGAAAGATACTGAAGAACATCTTCCTCTTCTTTAAAGATAAGCAGTTGTGGTGACAGTCGCAAAGTCCAGCAGGAGCTCAGATGAAAAAATATTTCATGAACTTTTTTAGAGAATCAAGATAAGATCAGACCTGTATTTATCCATGCTGACTTATTAGTACTGCATCACAGTTAGTACATTTTCTCCTAAAGATTATGAAAGCTTTTATTTTACAACTATGTTAAGATTTGGTTGTGTTATAAGTCCAATTTAGATGTTTTTAAACACACAGACAGATATGGATTTATACAAGTTTATGTAAACATTACATTTGTGTGAACACTATTTTATTAGTTGCCATGACATATTTTGCACATTTTTCCTTATGAACCTGCATCAAAATTTAACTATATTTCAAATGCAAATGTTTTGACTGCAAATTTGGGATGTTGCCCATTTCATTTGTTTCCTTACATAGTAACTTCTTTTATTTTGCTGAATTTATGTAACTGACTAAATAAATTCTAAAACATTTTTTTCTGATAAAATAAATGTAATTTAGAAAAGGTAAATGTGTTTGCAGGAATTTAACTGCTCTCTAGACTTTCACAAACTATTCTACTAACAATCTTTATAAGTCAGACACAGCTGTGTGATGTGGGAACTCTGACATATGAATAGGGATGGGTCATAAAACTTACTTGATCCAGAATTGTCTTCCTTTTCTTGGTGTCAGTAACAGCTGACAGTTGCATCTCTCCCATCTTCTTCATCTTCTCGTCCATGTCAATTTTTTGCTCCAGTTTCTTGATCTCGGCACGTAGCAACCGAACGGTGTCCTCTCTGTGATGAAGACGGGCAACAGCAGTGGCACATGCTGAATGCATGGCTGTGATCCAGTTTTCCAGCTCTGTCTGGCTGCAGGTCTGCATGTGGACAGCAAACAAAGAGCAGGAGTTATTCAGCGCAAGTAGCTGCTTCACAATCATTCTGGTGTCCATGATCTTTAGTTCTTGTACAATTCAAGCTTGATAAACAACTTGTTTTGACTTGTATGTACTGACACATATCTACAACTATAATTAAACCTTCTGAGTTGGTAATCACTGTCATGAAATGACTTAATACTTATCATTGTGTAATTTAGAGGTAGTTAACCCCCCAATCATACTTTGCATTATGTTGAACTTGTTTTGCAGGTATCTCTCTGGTGATATAACCTTACCTGGAAAAGAAATGCATCACCCAGGGAATTGCTAAGGCAAAAAACAAAGTCCTTTTTGGGATGCTCTGGCACAGCTTGGACTATACTGTTCTCTACCCATACGGCATGCTTGGGATTACTGTTGTTGTCAATTCCTGAGCGACCATCAGTCTCATAGAAGAAGAGGGTGCATCCTGCAACGTCATAACAAAAAAAAAATTTCACAAGGCAGGCACATGCTGACTTAGATAACAAGGAAACAGTCTTGGAGATAATCTTGTTTTTTTTAAAGCTATATTTTCTCAAGCAATTTAACTCTGCTCTCCAGTGGCCAAGATTAAGAAGTGCAGCACATTTGACTTATCAGTGAGAAATGCATTAGGATTTTTATTCCAAGCAGAGTCAAGTGGAATTTTTTTTCATGATTTGAGATTAGTATGATCTAAAACTGTCTGCATGGGCCACGGTTTTGGTTACAAACTTGAATTTTTATGTTGAATTACTTGCATGAATAATACGATTTTTAAATAAACTGTAGTAAAATAAAGCAAACTGTTAAGAATCCCTTCATGTTCAAACACACCTTTAAGGGAAACCCAGTAATTTTTCCACTTGCGTCTTGTGGCAGATTCCACTTTCTTGTTCTTCTTGTGTACAAGGAAGTTCTTGACAGCAAGGTTACCAGCTTTGCGTACCATCCCCTGGACAACACTGAGTAAAACATCCGACTGGTAGGCGGAGCTCATAGTGCTCTGCTCATCGCTTAGGGCGGAGCTTGCTTCCTCCAAGTTCTCCGTCTGGCAGGAGCTCATTTGCAGCTCTTGGCGAAAGTTCTCGTACACGCCCTGCACACACTCGTTGGCCCCACCGCCACCACTGCTGCCGCTGTCGCTGCCAGCAAACATACCTCTTCCATGCACTGAATACACAGAAAAGGAGGCTGACATGGTTTTGTAGCGTCGAGACTGGTGCTCTGCCTCTACCATCACCCCGTCGATTCCACTATCCTCGTATTCACTGCCATCCCCAGCTGTGACATCCTAAATAGTGGCAGAGGTACAAAACAGGTAAGATGGCATGGCATTGATCACAAAGAGGGCAGGTAGTCGACAACAAAACTACTCTTGATGACGGTTAAACAATACAAGAAATACAGGATGGAGTAACCGTTGCAAAGCACACTATTTAAAAACATTTGCCAAACAAGAGTGCAAGTTGTGTAAGGAAGAGCTTCCGAAACTAAAAACTCAAAGCAAAGCTTGTGCTGTTCTGTGAATACAACCTGCCCTTCCTGTGGCACCACAAGGTCTGCCCTCTCCTCACCACATAGCCAAAGGCTCCTGGGAGATGAAGGGGCTTACACTGAGCCTGGTATTTCCATCTGGTCACATGATCTAATCAAATGCGCTCCGGAGCTCCATTCAGCAAAGGTTGACACTGTCCCCGTCATGACAGAGCCACCACACGTTTTACTGTTACGCTTTCACAGGCCTCCGCTCATTATCATAAAAAAAGCCTGGGGCATTTCTAACAGGGAGTGACTTCAAGCTGTGCTCACCCCCCTCCCGTCAACACTGTCGCTTCTCCCAGAAAAAAAATAACCACGGTTTCAACAAGAAAACCATCACAGCTTCCTTTAAACTTTTACACTTAATTAGTGAAGTGAATGAAGCAGAGGAAACGCTCAGACACAAAGGAGATTAAAAAAAAAAAGATAATGATGCGAGTTATTTTGTGGTGCTTTTTTTTTTTTTTTTTTTTTTTTTTTTTTTTTTT